AATAAAATGATGAAAATTATATTTAGAAATTTGTATTGCAAAAATAATAAATGTTAATGAAATAATTGAATTTTTTTTAAAGAAAAAGCGAGTTAAATGTCTTTCTTTAAAACTCACGTTTAACGCATTTTTAACTAATTTCGATATCTGTTTGGATTATTTGATATGTCTATAATGTAGTTCTCGAAATAAATTTTGAGATGACATAAGCAATTTGTGGATTTGATTAGCGTACGATCGTCGAATAATTTTTAAAGTTAGCATATTATCGAAATTTTCGAAATACTAATTTTCAACGGCTTACTTTGACAAATCGTAGCATTTGCTACGATTGATCGTTTCGTACGCTATTTACAACGTAAAAAACTAGACCGTGAACACTTCGAAATGGTATTAAGCATGTAATATTTCCCCCTTATTTGATGGAAAGTATTTTGTAAAAAGACGATAGAAAAAAGAGAAAAATTAAAATTTATTATGATTTTGCTCATATTTGATATAAATTAAAATCAAATTTTTAGTAAATTTTGATAAAAGTTAAATAGTTATGTATTTCATGAAATATATTATTAAAATTAATTGTTAATTTTGATTTAGATTAAAATTTATATTTCAATTAATACCAAACATGATTTTATATATAAATAAAGAAAAAAACTCAAAAGTTGGGATCACGTGCCCCTGGACCCCGGTCCCCCCTGCTCGACTGTGCAGAATTATCCTCTGTTTATTTCATCAGCCCATTTTTCCATTCTATCTTAACGAAGGATCGACTAATGCTATAAAATGACAACTCATGGATGATGGAACCCCAGCAAAATCCAGCCTAGTGGTCATAAGAAATTGGAGTTTCCCTTTCCTTTCAAGAGAGAGAAAAATCTTGGAAATAGAACCAAATCCTTTATCGATACTCAAGTTTCACAAAACAAACTGCAAAGCTGTCGTGGGCCTGTTTTTCCAAATTTTCTTATTCACGAATTTGAGTGATTTTTACTTTATTTAGTTTTAAATGAATTGGATCCAGTAATTATACTAGAAATATTAAGAGAAAAAAGATTGCATCTAAAGTAACTTAAAAGTTATATTTGACAAAATTTTACTTATTTTGCTTGAGATTAAATTAATGTTTCTTGAAACTCTCCTTTCCCTTATTATATTCCTTACCACCCAACTTTTGGTCACCAAACGTGCCATTTTCCCTTTTATACGGTTGAAACTGAAGAAACACAATTGCCCAACTGATTTAGGACACGTTTGGCATGATTTTTGATAAGTCAAAATGAACTTTTGAAACTCGTGATTTCTTTTGGACCCGTTTGATCATAAGACCTAAAAACTGTTTTTGAACTCGTTTGACTAATTTTTTAAAGGTGCTTTTGAGAGTTAAAAGAGTTTTTTAAAAAAAGTTGATCGAATTTGATTTCTTTTAAAAGCATTTCCGAAATATATGAATTTTTTTTAAAAAAATTAACTTTCAAACAAATATTAAGACAATTTGGTTCAAAATCTCTTTTAAAGAAAGTAAAAATAAAAATAAGTCATGTCAAACGAATTCTAATTTTATTAAAGTGTTTCTTATAATTAGAAGAACGTTTGGAATAATGAATAAAAAGTACTTCTAAAAATTAATTTTTAAATAAAAGTAAGTAATTTTATCCAAAAATTCTTTTATAAAAAATGAAAG